ATACATTCCTTCAAAACAAAAAAAAATATGTGAAAATCCACCTAAAAATCTGGCTAACAAAGTATGAGGCATTTTTATTGAACTATAACTCTTGAATACATTTTGCAATGGAGAATCATTTTTTTTCCTTTAATAAAGCTGAAAGAAAAACATGTGTTAACTACCTATATGAACAAATACATTCAGAAGAAGATCTTTTGCAAAAAATACCTTAAAATCTTCTCTTGAGGTTTTGGCTCCACCTTGTGCGAATCTTACACTGATCCACCCAATCACCTAAGAACACGGAGCTAATCTGATCACATAACAATCTTACTACTTTTTCAGAAAAGAAGTGAATATATAGAGATGGACTTGATCAGCCGAATTACAAAGACCACCAATGTAGATTCTAAATAACAGGCAGCTGATAACTCACATGAAAAGACTGCTGTACTAGTTGAAATTATAATTTTTGGGCTTTTTGCAGGTCAGGCGGATCCTTGAGAAACAAAAAAGGTTTAATCCACAAAATTATTTTCTATCCAATTTCATACAAATATATTTTCATATTTCTAATGTATTTCTTCAGCTATTTTTCTTATTTTTTAAACACTTAAATGCACTCAAGCTATAATACAGTTATGGTAGCCTACAGGTACCTCATACCTTTTCAAAATGTCAAAATCTAACCTTCCAGAAATTCTCAATTTTGAGGTAACACTATTATTATGTCATCCTCAAAACACATAAAAATGGCTTAGATGGACCTTTTAATTTGAATGGACATAACAATGGAAACTTCAATGTGGAATGAGAGGAGAGCCCTTCAAGAGCTGTACACCTCTGGACAGTCCTATACTTCCCCCTTGCTGCTCCTCTCCTCACTACATTCCCTTCAAGCACTGAGACTCTCATGTTCCTATATCCCCACTGCATAGCATGATCAGAATTCTGACCATCTCTGAATCCCCACTCCCAGGAGATACACATATATCCAAATTGCCTGGAGTTTCCTCTCATTCTTCCACACTAATATCACAATTTTTCCTTGCCACCCTACACCTGCAGAAAACCCAAAGAAGGAAGATGGCAGTGTGGCACTGGTATCTCTGCAGAGTCAGGGAGGAACAAGAAAGTGAAATGGCTCAGAAAACTCCACAAATGAAAATGGCTCATCAAAATGCTGTTGTGTATTGAAGCAACATCATTTTGTTTGAAACTACTGCATGTCATGGTACTTTATTTCCAGTGGAACTCATGGTAAAGCAAAATCTCTTTTTATTCATGAATGATGTCTTGAAGGGAGATAGAAATTTGTAGTACGAGTGGGGGAATAAGGAGAAGCTTCCAAACAAACAAGAAAATGAGAATGACATCCTGACTTCACCCCACTTCTGCAGGATAATTCCCGTTTCCCAAACTTCTGCTCTTCTCCTACCATGGATGGCTCTTCTGCAACATCCAGCCCCAGCAGGCTCAAACCTAGTGGTCTCTGCAACTAGGGATCGTAACACGGTATGTACCACAAAAGTACGTACAAGTACAACCCAATAGGTGACTCGACATTTTGCAACAATAGTCACAGATAAGTTGCACGATAAAGCATAGGCTCTACAGGAGAAAGCAGAAACCAACTGACTACAACTGTGGTAGTACAGAAGTGGTGCCTGAGGTTATGAGTCACTTCTATAAACAAAATATCTTCACACTCCCTATTTGACTTTTAGCTGTCCCAAAGAATGCTGGTAAGTTGCTGAAATTTGATTCATTATAGCAGGAAAATTTTGTAAGGCATCTCTTGAATTTACGGAACAATACTGGAAGCTAAATGAATGCCCAGAAGGATATTTTTGGGAATGTTTTCACTCACTCTATAACCAACGAACATTTCTGAGATTTAAGGGAAAACAGTCAGCAGTTATGTAATTTGAGCCAGATATAAAAATAGCAGTATCATTCAGCTATATTAGCCTACCCCAAGTCCAGTAACTAGTGTTTGATAAATCACGTTGTCTAACTGGATTTAAAGAGACAGATACAGAAAATTCAACCCTTTCCATTATAGGGGGTTTCCAAAGATTAATTTTTCTACAGCCTACTCAGGCTTTTCTGTGAGAGAACTGCTTGCAAAAATCCTCTTTTCCCAGAAATCCAAGGAGAAAGACAAATGGGGAATTTCTGATAGAGCTAATGTGGTAGGATGTAAAAACATAAATTAGCATTCCCCACCACATCTATGAACATACAAACTGTCATATACAATTACAGGGAGTGAAGTGAGCTGGTCCCATGTGTCTTCCAAACGCTCCTATCATACTGAATCTATTTACCCAGTTATAATGAGCCCTGATGGATGTCTAGAATCTCCTTGATCTCTCCTAGCTGTCAGCATCTTTTACAAAATCCTGCTGGATTTATAAATAAAATACATATGCAATACAAGCAATTATAAACAATGCTCTTCATCTCTACAAAGACATTTAAGAAACACCAAGGATGAACAATAATTTTATGAACACTTCATTTTAATACTTGTTAACCTTTTTTTTTAATGGCACAAACAAAAAACACAGATAATTATATATACATATATATATATTTCCCAACTTAAATGAATCAAGTAAGGGAAAAAGATGATCATCTGCAGCTATAATTTAGGAAATCTGAAGATGATCAAAGAACATATGCACTTTTATCAAGTACACTCAATCAGGTGAATGATATCTTCTATTTGGAAAGTCAAGTCTCAGATAGACTGCTTTCCTATGATAATAAACAAACAGTAACCTTTAAGGAAATATTCTCTTTATTATTCTCTAAGATATGAACAGTGAGTATCTGATCCAATTTACCTCCCACACCAGATCTGAAAGAAGCTGACAGCTGGAGTTCTATTCAACCTCTTTTACGAGAAGTAAGGAAAATGCACTGTCAATTCATACTTTGCCTACAAACTACAATGAATGTCTATCTCCTAGTTACACTTTTCCTTCATGGTATACTTAAGAGGGTAGAGTGCTAACATGCTTCCAACACTTTCACTCCAAATGTAGATTTTAAGCACTACTTCAAAAAGACAGAGAGTCATGCAAACCAAACATCTTTAAAAAAAAAAAAATTCTTTCTCTGAATAACGTGTCAGATGTCTGCCCATAATCTAGGGTAATTCAAGTAACATCTCCCACATGCATGCTCTCAAATGGGTCCTATAATTCTTTGAGAATTGCACTCTCAATACAGCTCAACTGCATGCAGTCTTATTCTGAATGCTTCAGTAATCATGAAGGAATGAGTACAGCTCTAGGTTTGAAGTCTACAAGTGACAGTCGAGAGATTTTTAAGCAGCAGCGTATGTTGCTCTGGGCAAATCTCGGTGCAATGACTCAAAATCCCATCAGTCAGCCAAGCACTTCAATACATGTTTCAAGAAAATAAGTTAACTACTTGGACAAGCGCTAATGAAGAAAGCTGTTACTTCCAATGCAGAAAGAAGAGGAACCATCCAAAATGCTTAGTTGTCTAATTCTAAAAGGAAAAGAGAGTTCTGACTTCCAGAGTATGAAGGAATTATTTTCTTTCCAAAGCCTGAATTCCAGAAAGGAAGACTGAAAAATTGCTCCTTTTGCATGCAGTCTGGATATATTTTTTGAAAAGGGGAAAAGAAAGCGCTTATATCCTGGGATATATTCTACCAAAGAAATATTTATTCTGCTACTAAGAGCCACATCTTAACATGTCTTCCTGGCAGAAGAAAATAGTGACCAAGAATGCCCTCTGTAAATAAAAATGTGACCAGATGCTCAAAAGGACAACTCATGGGCAAATAAAAGCACAAGTATTATTTCTCACTAAGGTGAGGGATCCCTGTGCAGGGAGGAAGAAGGTGTAACAATTCGATCCACCTGTTACAACACTGAAGAGCTAAGCAGAGAATAGGCCAAATGGGTATCAACAGAAATATTTGACAATACTGACACAAAGCCAAACCACATATTCCAGAACCAATTTGACTTTACTATTCTTTCTAAAAAGAAGTCTCAGAGCAAGCACTCCTAGAAAACAAATCCTGGAACATGGCAATCTACAGATTCAACATGTGAACAGTATGCACATCCTCTCAGGACAATACAGGCATTGACAATGTGGGCTGGCTGCAGGGGTTTGATCATGAACTAGACACAAACAAATCAGTTGGCCTTATTACTGACAGAGTTCCTGGGCCAGTGGAGATGTGAGGGGAGGGGGAGCGGAAAGGAATGTGAAAGCTAACGTTTCAAAGACTTGGGGAGAACAGGATAAGAGAAACATGACAGAAGAGAAGAAATAAAGAATGAAGAAAAGTTTGATGCAACCAGCTACCTAAAAATTTCAGATGAAGGTAGTTTCAGATCATTTCAGATGAATGTTCAATGTCCAGTCCTGATAAACACCTACACTTACCCCTTGCCAGTAGTGATAAAGGAAAGTTTTAAGCAGACAAGGCCCATTTAGTGATGGGCCACCCAATTTAGCAAAATCAGAGAAAGCTGTTTATCATCACAGTTCATAAGATGTAAAAAATGTCGTCTTATATATATAAACAATAATATATATGTTTACAGACTCACAGTAAGCATATAATTTTAGGCTATTGAATTTTTAAAGTCTCAAACAGACAAAGGCATTTGAAATGTATTGTCGAAATACTAAGAGGACAAATATGTGTCTTGTGATGAAGCAGTATTTGGCTTCTGCAGAACACACAAGGACAGTTAATCAGCATCAGCTGCAATCCAGAAGAAATTGCTGGATAAGCAGAAATAGCAGCTCAGTATAAAACAGAGGAAAGAAAACCTGACAGTCTCCTTAGGTCACCTGTATCAACACATCTGAATCAACAAGAGAAGGAATTAGTCTTTTAATTCTCCTACTGCTAAAAAAAATAGAACCACCACATTAAGGGGTGAAGTCAATTGTGAAATACAAAAGTAACAATGTGGTATTTCTACAAAGTTCTGAACATATAAGTCAACCCTTACCTTCTGGACGGTACTGAGCTACGATAGTTACTGCTTGGCCTGCATTCTTCAGGGCTGCCGCTGCCTGTTCATGGGTTGCTGCTTTTAGATCTACTCCATTTACCTACAAGTAATATAAAAAACCAAAATAAATGTTTATCATCATAGAAGACAGTTTCTATGCCATGTGAGTTTTCCCCGTTTCCAGCATTACAAGCTAGTTAATACAAAGATTACTGATCCTTACTGAAAACCAGTCAGTAAATCTTCTTTCACATGTACCCCTCTGTTAAGAAATAATGTAATCATCATAGTATATCACTTAATGAATTTGTATTTGCTAGGTTCATTTTCTTCCTGTTTAAGACCTTTTTCTTTCTTTGTAAGGAGACCGGGAGAATGTTGCTTTCTGTGATGGTTCACCTCTCTTTTCTACAACAGGGCTTCAGGGACCTCCTTAGCCAAGGCATGCCTACGGACCATTATATTCACCACCGAGTGACAGACCACACCCTCCATGAAATTGTCTATTCTTGTTTTCAATGCAGCAGATTTAAAAATAGTGTCAGAAAAAAACTGAAGCAGAAATGCATGTGTCGTGGTTTTGACCAAAAGTATTTTTCATCAAACTAAAATAAAGGTACACTTTAATACCAGCATTCTAATAACAGCAGAGCCAAAATTACTTTTCTCCTTTGAAATAACTACCAGATTACAATGTAATTGTCCAAAGAAATTATTCTCCATAAATCAAGTAATTTCACAAACACACAAAATCTTTATGACCTTCAGCACTAATACAGAAAAACCCCTCAGACAGGTATGAGATGGATCTGTTTAAGACTAACGGGAAGTTTAGGAGTTACTCCAAGAAGTAACAGCACTCAATTTTAGACACTATTGCCAGTTGCCTCCATCTCATTAGAAGGCTTATCTCTGAAGCCTGCATTCTTTCAATTTAGACACACCCCCCTCCCCCTTAGCTACCAGACTAAGATAAGTTAATGTCTCCACTGGGAAAAGAAAAAAAATCTCTGAGATAGGAAAGTGCTATTTTCATCAGGTTACAGGGGAGAAACTGAGGCAGACTAAAGTCCTCAAAGACACTTTGAAAGTACATTGGCATCTGTTCCATTGTCTCAAATTTAGCTCAGTTAATGATATTCTTTGCATATAAATCATATTAACTGGCATTAATATCCAGGCAGGAGAAAACTTTTGTCGTTATTTAAATAAAAGTAGCAAGGAATCCTACAGAAATTATGCGATCTCCTTTCCTAAGCTCTCCGCTCAGGTCAGCTGGCCCTCCTGCAAGTATGAAAGAGATGAAAATTCCTTCTCCATCTTCTCCTCCAACTATGTTGAAACCGAGACCTGTTGATCCTCGATGCAGGACAACCTTTCTAGGTTCCCTGAAGGAAAGAAAGGAATATGAAATCTTCGTCACTAGTCGTGAGTAAAAGTAAAACAAACAACTAGAAAAGCTGAGTTTTCTGAGAGAAGTAATGTTGAAAATTTAGGTATCAGAAGTTACACATTTCGTAAGGCAACAATGACGTGTGTCCCACCCCCCAGTCCTTAGCCCCAAAGCTTAAACTTTCAAATAAATGGCTTTATTACTATTTGTAAGCTTTCAATTCTGCGTGTCGTTAGGTGAATTGAACAATTCATAAGTGTGTATGTATTCTAAATTCCTATTACGCTACAACCGTATTCAGCACTAAATATCATTACTTAACACTTTCCATATTGTGCAAGAGCCTCAGTATAGCTCAGTCTTACTACCACAGAATCATTAATGTTGGAAAAGACCT